AGCCGGCCTGGGAGGGGCTCTGGGAAGGAGAGGGGTCGCGGGGAGCCGGGTCCACCTTTCTCTGCCTCTTGCCTGCATCGCCCCCTGGGGTCCTGGTTGCGAGATCCATTTTTGAATCTTTTTAAAAAATATATCTTTATTGACTTAAGAGAGTTAGGGAGAGGGAGAGAGAGAGAAACATCAATGATGAGAATCATTGATCGGCTGCCTCGTACGTCCCAGACTGGGGATCGAACCCGCAACCCGGGCATGTGCCCTGGCTGGGACTCGAACCCTAAGCTCCTGGTTCATAGGCCGTTTTTTAATCTTTCTAATCCTCTTCATCCCTGCTCCACCCTGATCCTCCTAACGCGATTTCTCTCGCCCCTCCTGGTGGCGACGTGGTCTTTCTAAAGCACAGATTTGATCAGGTCGTACCCCTGCTGACACCTTCAGTGGCTCCCCACTGACCTTGGGTAGATGGAATGCTTTGTCCAACTTATTAAAAAAGAGCCAGGAGACTTTGGCTAGAAATAAATGACGAAGATTTAGTCAAGAGTCTAGAGTTTGGAAACACAATTAGCCAAAAACCCAGAAGTGCTCTGAAGAAGAAAGGAAGGTTACAAGTTTTTTATAATAAAGTCACATCCTTGAGAATAATCAGTCCTGCAGTTTTAGTTGGCCCATTAGCAATGGGATGCCAGGTAGTCTGGTCATGTCCTAAGTCCTTTAGGGAATAGTCATGTCTGATGTATGTTCAGGCATTGACACACAATCAACTGATGTATCTCTAGATATTGGTGCAGAACTGGAAAGTTAAACATTTTAAGTTACCAGGGAAGTTAAGATAAGAGAAAGAATCATTTTCCTTATGCCTCAAACATCATCATAATGTTAATAATTTAGCAGCTTGCTCATACAAGTGTGTTTGCATTGTTAAAGGTTGAGTTTGTTTTAACTTTAAAATTTTGATGCAAATGGAGCATCCCACCTTGGTTCATCCTAGTGTCCTGCTGCTTGTTTTCTGGCAGTAGAGAAGCAGTAAAACCGTGAACAAAGAAACCATCAGCCTTATAGTAAAACACACAGTGACTGTGTTTTCTGAACAAGGAGTTTATCATAGCATTAAACAAATAAGGAAATCACTCATTTTTAGGAAAGAAGCTGAGAAAAGAGGAACCTGTTATGGTACCATTGCTGTCATGTGGAATACAGATTCTGCTACTTCACTTTTTTGTTATTGTTGTTTTTGTTAATCCTCACCCCAGGATATTTTTTCCATTGCTTTTCAGAGAGAGAGAGGAAGGGAGGGATCGGGAGGAAAAGGAAGAGAGAGAGAGAGAGAGAAACATTGATGTGAGAGACACATTGATTGGTTGCCTCTCGTACATGCCCCATCTGTGCTGGGGATTGAACCTGCAACCGAGGTATGTGCCCTTGACCAGGAATCAAAACCCAAGACCCTTCGGTTCACAGACCGACACTCTAACCACTGGGCAACACTGGCCAGGCTCTGCTACTTTGCTTTTATCATCTCCCTATAAAGGGAAGGTTTGCTCGGATGGAAACAAGCCTTTTAACTTTTTTTTTTTTTTAATTTAAATTCTTTCTTGTTTAAAGTATTGCATAAGTCTCCTTTTCCCCCCATTGACCTCTCCCTGGTCACTCCCACCCCCCAGCACATGCCCTCACCCCCCTACCTTTTAACTTCTTGAGTGAAAGTTCACTTCTTGAGATAGATGTGAAAAGCAAAGGGAGCCTAAGTGGCACTGTGTGAAGACCTCCTCATTAGCTTGCTGGAGGCCTGAGTGTAGCCGAGATCCAGGTTGCAGCCCTGAACCAACACACACGGTCTGCAGCCTCAGGAAAGTGATCTGACCAGCTGTGCCAGAGACTCATTGTGCAACTCTGGTCAGGTCACTCTGGGCCTTGGGATCTTCATTAGACAAAGGGAACTGTGTGGCCCTACATCACTTTCCGTTCTAATGTTCTTTGAACTTCTTCCCAGTGTCGTGTCCTGACTCTGCTGTCTTGTGATTTTTTTCCAGGAGTGGGAGCAGCACTCTTAGCACAGACATTTCTGGAGCCAAGGTTTTCAACAGCAATGAATACCTCTGTGTCTACAGAAATGTCAGTAAGCTGACTCTTTAGAGGGTTTCCTTAATATTTCTGTTGAGTGGTTTTTAAAGACAGTTTTGAAGGTTGGATGCTGACTGGCAATAGAATTATAGCTTTTATAGCCAGACAATCCAGCTTCCATATTACAGCTTCTGTTCAGTTAGGCTGGGGCATGTCTACATTTTGTTTGCTTCTTGCCCCAGAATCTCTTGTCATGCTTTTCTGTACAAATGCAAAAGGGCTAAAAGCAGAGTGGTTCCCTTGTTTCCCACCCCCATAAGGGGCTCCTCAGAAAAGTTACAGGCCCTAGAGCTAGCCCAAAGCAGTTACTGATATAAAGAAACTGAGTCCAGAGACAGGACTTATCCAAGAGTTAGGGTCAGGTTCTGATTTTTTTCTCCTAAATTCTAGTCCAGTGCTCATTTTACTGTCTTCTGCTGAGTTGCACAACTTAAAATCTTCCTTAACTGTTTGATTAATTACTTTAAATATTACAACACAAAACAAAGCCCCTAATCTCCCCCTCCCCCCGTTTTTGCATTTTAAGGGGGGAAAATAGGGAGAAGTCCCATCCCCAACCTTTTCCTTTGAGACTTTTTGCTTCTCCTGTTCCTCTCCTAGGGGGGGTTCTTTTTTTTTTCTTTTCTTTTTTTTAAATATGTTTTTATTGATTTCAGAGAGAGGAGGGGAAAGGGAGAGAGATATAAACACCAATGATGAGAGAAAATCATCTATTGGCTACCTCTTGCATGCCCTCTACTGGGGATCAAGCCTGCAACCTGGGCATGTGCCCTGACTGGGAATCAAACTGTGACCTCCTGGTTCATGGGTCAACACTGAACCACTGAGCCACACCAGCCAGGCTTCTTTGGGGGTTCTTAACTGCCTCTGTCATTTGACATTGTTTTTAAAGATAATGATGTCATAGCAGGTGCCCCAACATTTCTCTCTGAGAATCTATGACAGGTCATTGAAAGGAACCCTGATGTATGTTGCAGGAGTGTGGGGCTGACTGTGCCAAGTTTCAGAAGAGTGAGCTGGAGTACAAGTTTAATCGGAAAGCCTTGGAGAGGCCATATACTTCGAAGCACTCCTGGGGGAAGACGTATGGGGAGCACAAGCGCCACCTGGAATTCAGCCACGCTCAGTACAAGGAGCTGCAGAGATATGCCGAGGAGGTGGGCATCTTCTTCACTGCCTCTGGCATGGATGAGGTGAGCCCTCTGCCACTCTGTCATTTGCTACTTTAGCAGACCCAGGGGACAGCAGGCGGCCTGGTGGCTTTTGGCTTGAGCCGGCTCTTTTATGCTTTCTGGACCTAGAGCTCTCCATAGCATTAACCAGAATAATGCCCAACTAAACGGGAGGCCAGAGGGGGGAGAGGTCCAGTGAAAGTTTGTGGAAGAGTACCATAGTTTTCAAAACAAGTTGTCTGGGAGCAGGGGGCAGCCACACTGGTACCGTGTTCTTCAAGCTGTGAGAGCCCCCACTAGGCCAGTTTTCCCCAATGGAAAGTCATCTGAACTAGGAGTCAGGAAACCTCAGTTCTGGCAGCAGTCTGTTCCTTGCTGAGTGGCCTTGGCTGATTTGGGTGGCGTGGCACTGGCATCATCCAGAAGGGCGTGGCACCCAAGATGGCCACGCTCGCTCACATCCTGGAAGAGTCTAGCTGGTGCCAGGTCTCAGTTTTGATCTGCTCTGTAACCTGCCTCAAGATTTCTTCATCTATCTTTCTGAATGTAAATAAATTTTAATTGTAAAAACTAATATAACATCACAGAAAGTTTAGAAGACAGGAAAAAGAGGGAAAAACTGACCCATAATCCCTATATGGCAGTTCTTTTTATAGATTTCCTCCCAAAGTCTTTTTATATGCAAATTTTATTGCCTGGTGGTTGTATTTGTGAATATTTAATTCTGTGCATCTTTTCCCAGTTAACATTATACCAAAAGTTTTTACCCATATCTTCTTTTTATTTGAAACTTTATTGAGATATAATTGACATATGTAACTCTCCACATCTATATATGTGTGTGTGTGTGTGTGTGTGTGTGTACACACACACACAAAATATTATTGATTTTTAGAGAGAGAGGAAGGGACAGGAGGAGAGAGATAGAAACATCGATGAGCGAAATATTGATCGGCTGCCTCCTGCACGCCCCATACCAGGGAATTGAGCCTGAAACCCAGGCATGTGCCCTGACCAGGAATTGAAACAGCAACCTTTTGGTGCACAGGACAACGCCCAACCAACTGAGCCACACCAGCCAGAGCTAACTCCCTACATATTATGCTTAAAGTTTTTAATAGCAGTGTAATATTTTTTTGAGGATTTAACCTTTAAGAAGGTCTATAAGGTCAAAACTATTTTCATGATACTCAAATGTTATTTGCCTTTTTCACTGCATTCTCTCACAGTGTATAGTGGCATTTTCCAGAGGCTATGTGATATGGGATGACATCATTCCTCTGGCAGTGGCTAATGAAATGTGTGCTGTGTGTTCTTTATTTTTTAAATAACAGCTTTATTGACATACCATACAATTCACCCTGGCAAACATTACTCAGTTTTAAAACACGTTGTGATATCACTACAAAATTATTAGTATGGCTCAAATAAAAAATGGTACCCAGCTGGTGTGGCTCAGTGGTTGACTGTCAACCCATGAAACAGGTCACAGTTTGATTCCCGGTAAGGGCACATGCCCAAGTTATGGGGGTGCAGGAAGCAGCTGATCGATGATTCTCATCATTGATGTTTCTATCTCTCTTTCCCTCTCCCTTCCTCTCTCTGAAATCAATAAAGAGGTATCCTATATAATAAAACCCTAATATGCAAATTGGCCAAATGGCAGAACGATGGGTCTCTATGATGCGCACTGACCACCAGGATGCAGATGCTCAGCGCAGGAGCTGCCCCCTGGTGGTCAGTGCACTCCCACAGGGGGAGTACCGCTTAGCCAGAAGCTGGTCTCATGGCTGGCGAGCGTAGCAGCAGCAGCAACAGCAGCAGTGGCAGGAACCTCTCCCGCCTCCGCAGCAGCACTAAGGACCCCTCCGGGGATGTCCGCCTAAGCCAGCAGGTGGACATCCCCCGAGGGGTCCCGGACTGTGAGAGGGCGCAGGCCGGGCTGAGAGGAACCCTCCCCATTCCCCCAGTGCATGAATGTCATGCACTGGGCCTCTAGTATTTTATAAAAAGTGGCAATGACACCAAATTGTAGCAAGGATGCAGAGAAAATGGATCACTCATACGTTGCTGGTGGGAATGTAGCATGCTCTAGAAAATAATATGGAAATTTCTTTTTTTAAAAACTTTAGTGAGATGTAATTCATATACCATGTAATTCACCCACTTAAGAATGTACTTGTAGTTTCTTATAAAACCAAATGTATGTTTATCATATGACCCACCAGTTGTCATTTGGTAACTTATCCCAAAAGAAATAAAGTATTGATACATGCTACAATATGTTCCTACAAAAACCTGTGACTGAGTATCCACAACAAGTTTATCTGTAGTAGCCCCAAACTAGAACAACCCAAACATTCTTTAGCAGATGAATTATTAAACAAACTAGTACATTCATACCACAGAATACTACTCAGCAATAAAAATGAATGAACTATTGATACATGCGACAGCTTGGATGGATCTCAAAGATATTATGCTGAGTAAAAGGGCCAATCTCAGAAAGTTGCATATTATATGGTTCTGTTATATAATATTCTTGAAATAACAGAACTATGAGATGGAGATCAGGTTAATGGTTGTCAGGGGCTAGGGAGGGGAAGAAAGGGAGGTGCATGTGTCTATAAAGTGGTAACAACAGGGAACCTTGTAGTGATGGAATAACTCTCTGTCATAACTGGTGGTGGTCACATGAGTGTCTATGTGAAATTGCACAGAATTAAATACATGTGCACTCAGATGAGAACATGTAAAAAATGGTGAGATCTGAACAAGACCAGTGGAGTGTGTCAGAGTCACTCTCCTGGTTGTGAGATTGCACTAAGGGAAGTGTACATACGTTCTCTGCATTATTTCTCACAGCTGCATGTGAAGCTATTATCTCAAAAAGTTCAAAATGTAAAGAAAACTAAATTCTACATGAACAAAAGCTCTCTAGAGTCCTTCGTAATATTTAAGAGTATAAACACAAAAACATTTGGGGCCCCATGCTGCACGGTGCACACCTCGGCTGTGTGGCCCATTGTGTAAGTGCATGGACTCGGATCAGATTTTGAGCTTGAATATGGTTCAGCCTGTCATTCCTGGTGTGTCATGTGGAGGTTATTTAACCTCTTCAGCTTCAGTTTCTTCAACTGTAAAGTGAGTTAGTACTGAACCCATCTTGTAAGGTGCTCAGCAATAGCTTCAGTTTCTTCAACTGTAGAGTTAGTACTGAACCCATCTTGTAAGGTGCTCAGCAAATATGAGCTACAGTTGAGGAAAACAACCTGGGCTGAGGGTCAGGACATCCAGGTTCCCGCCCTGCTCTGCTCTAAGATAATATCAGCGTGAGCTTGGCAGTCCTTTCCCTCTCTGGGTCTCCCTTCCTCTTGTGTGTGAACAACTGCTATCCAAGGACTCTCCCAGCTCTGACATCCTGAGTCATTATAGGACCAGAGAAGGCCTCGCTAAGGTGACACCCTGGAAGGAGGACTTTCCTGCTCAGTGCGCTTCCAGGCACCTGAGCACCTGGATGTGTACTGGAGAGAGGGCACCTTCTTGCATCTGTGAGCTGCTTAGGAAAAGTCACGTCTTTTGGTTGTTTGCTCCCAGGTGGCTTCAGGGTGAGAAGCAGGGGCAGTTGGGAGATGCAGAGGAGCTTGGGTGTTGTTAGTTGGGGGCTACCTCTCAGCCTGCAGCCTTTTGGTTTCCCAGGAAGCTTCTGTTTGGTGTGTAGAACACATGCTCTGCCGCCACACTGAGTCCAGGTCCTGGTACTGACACTAACTATGTGGGCTCAGGCTCATCATGTAACTGCTTGGAGCCAAAGGTGCCCCATCTGTAAAAATCCTATATAATAAAAGTGTAGTATGCAAATTGTCCCCTCAACCGGGAGTTGTCCGGGAGTTCGACCAGGGGGTGGGGCCGGCCAGGGGATGGGAGGGAGTACCCGGCCGACAGCCGGCAGCCGCTAGGGACCAGTGCACGGCACTGGGCCTCTAGTGGGATAATAAAAATGCCCACCCCACAGGGCTGGGGTGAGTATCAGTGAGATAAACCTGTGGGTGCAAGATCTGAATCCACTGAGTGACAGCTGTTCTGTTACTTACAACTCTTTGGAGTTTCTCTGCTTCACACCATCTTCGCAGGGAGGCTCCTCTGTCCTGGAATGCCATTTGCTCCCAACTGGTCTCCTGACTGACCTGGGCACAGCAGTGAGGAGAAATGCATTCTTAAGAGCCTTTATAAGAGTCAGTTTGCGTTGCCGGCCAGGTGCCGTTGCTGAACCAGCAGGTCCCGTCTACCCGGCCGTTGGAGTGGGTTGGTCCCTTTTTTCGTGTTTACCTAGCATGTGGCTCCGGGTGTTTATCCCCCCTAACTTCCTTATGGACAGGAGGCACTCGCTGAGGGCCTGTTTTCTCCACTTGTGTGCTGCCCTGGGGCATTCTTTATGTGCTGAGGGAAGGGTAAGGTGTGGCCGGATTTTATTAAGGCCAAGTAAACTTCCGGGGCACCTGGTCAGAACTGCACAGGGGCACATGCAGCTCTCCTGAAATGAGCAGCGTGCCTTTGGTCTAAATGGAGAGTTTGATTCAGATAGCTAATGGCAGCCATGACCATAGAGGTGGCCCCTCACACACAAGTGACCCATCCTGCAGAGCTGCCCTGCCTCTCAGTGCCCTTTCCTCTCCCTCCCTTTCCTTGGCCATCCCTGCCAGCAGGGTGCCTCCTGTCAGGATTGGGTGCACTCTGACAGGCCACTTGGCTGAGTGCTTCCCCCTTCATCATTCCTCACCCTGGGCAGCTCTTCAACTCATCAGCATGGGCTTCTTTTATCTTTACTACAGGATCCCAAAACTGAGGGGAGTGGTAGGGGCTTTAGAAACATCCCAGCTCCTCTCTTCTGTTACCTCTTAGGTCAGCGGGTCCCAAAGTTTCTCACAGGATGAGAAGCCCCATATGGAAAAGGGGCTTCGGGTACACGTTGTCAACTCTCATTAATTAATTTAAAATCAGTACATCTCTCCTCCCACTTAAGAGGAGCTCTGCCAGTGCAGCATTTCACCCAAACCCATTTGCTGGTGGGACCCTTTTCTGTGAATTTAACCATTTGGGTGCCCAGGGTGGGTCACACTGGCCAGTTTTGCTGTGGAGTGGGAGGGAGGAGAAGTTGTGAGGCTGCTGGTTGCATTGCACCCCTACATGGAAAAGGGATGAACAGCCAGATGGGCAGGGCTGGGAGAAGCCAAGGAGTCCACAGAGAGAAGGGGCCTCTGGCACTGATGAAGCCTGAGGAGGCTGGGGCACAGGATGAAAGGCTCGCATTATCCCAATGATTGAAGTGGGCACCCTTTGCAGAGATCAATCCTCAATGGCAGTTTTCTAAATGGCCACTAGGTGGGGATGGTTCCCAGGAGGCCTACAAAATGAGGCACACCTATGCCATTGATAGAATTTGCCCATTTTTTTCCTCACTATAAAACTGTAAATTTTACAACCTCCACAGGAAAGCTTTAGCAAATTTTTTTTCCTGCATTTGGCCCCTCCTTCCCCCTGTTTGCTCTGCACCTCTCCCAAGTGACCTCATCCATCTGTTTATGACCTTGGCGACTTTTTTATCATGGCCCACTTTCTCACAAGTTGAACATTAGGATAGAAGAAAATGTAGCATAGGCTTTCCCTCTGAAAATAGAAATCACTCTCTTCATCTGCTAGAGTGAAAGGCATGGAAAAATTTGACATCATTCACTAAACATATTAAAGAATCTTTTTCAGTTCCATTCTAGAGCTAGTTAACAGTGAGATACATAAAGAGGAGAGAGTGAGCTAGAAAAATATGGAAGGGAAAGAAACAAGGAAGAAATAAAGTCGATGGGAGGAGGCAGCAAGAACTGCAGCAAAGGTAGCTTAGCACACTTGGAGGTGAGTGACACTTGGCCACACTGGACAGTGTCTCTTAGACATAGTGGGTTGCAAACTGTCTTTGAACTGTTCATTGGCTGGTCAGCCACCCGTATGGCCCTCCAAAAGCTATAACCAGTACATGATTAGAGGACTTACATATGAGGAAAGTTATTCTGAGTGCAGCCACTGTGATTGTGGTAGCTCATCGATGACCCACTGGGAAGGTGGACGGAAGCTTGGCCATCAGTGGGTTGATGAAAGAGTCTGCTGGCAGAATGTCCTTTTCATGCTGTTCCTCACCCACCCCGGTGCCCTTTGGTTTTTCAGGCATGGTGACCTAGCTCCTTGCTACCCAGACTATGAGTCACGGAGCGCCAACCTTGGCATTACCCAGGAACTTATTAGAAATGCAGACTGTCAGACCTCACCCTAGACTGACAATCAGATTTTGCATTTCATTTTAATAAGATCCCTGGGAGATTCATGTACCCAAGTTAGAGCATGAGAAGCACTGACCTAGCTCATCAAGTCTTTCAAACTTACTTCTGAAACGCAGGCAGTATTTGAGGACAGATAGAACTTAGATATTTGGAAACATTCCAAGACATTGATCCTCCCCATTTCTGATTTTCAACTTCAGTTTTTAAATAGTATATAATAAAAGGTAGTTTTGGCCCTGGCTGCGTGACTCAGTTGGTTGGAGTGTCGTCCTGTACACCAAAAGGTTGCAGGTTCGATCCCTGGTCAGGGAGCATATGGGAGCAACCAATCCATATTTTTCTCAAATTGATGTGTTTCTCCCTCCCTCCCTCTCTCCTCCTTCCCCTCTCTAAAATCAATAAACATATCCTAGGGTAAGGATTTTTTTTTTAAGGTAGTTTTGGAGGTCTTTCTAGATTTGACAGCAAACAAATTTTACTCTTAAAACTTGTCGTCTTCTGACTCCATCAAGCATTTGTTACACTTGCCAATCTCCTGAGTCTTATTGATGAACCCCAGATAAGGATGGTGAAGGGCCCTGGACAGGGGATTTGAGGCAGTGATATTGTGTCCAAAAAAAAAAAAAAAGCAACTGAGGTTTTCCCTGGGTGGCATGGTATGAGGTCTGATAGGCCCTGCCAGCTCACTGTGTCAGAGCTGGGCCATCAAATGCTCCATTTTTTCCACTTTTGGCAAAGATTGAAGTGGCCTCTTTTCCATGCTTTTTGGTCCTTCATAAAGGGTAAGACCTTTGAGGGACATTCATTTTCTCACTGCCTGGTTTTCTGGGTCAAGATGAGGTCATGACCCATGAATGTGTTCACTGGGTTCTGTGCCCCTAGGGAAGAAGATCTGGCCAGGGGTCCAATTCTTTTCCGGATTCTGTAGTCAGCCAGGGCAGCATGCAGTGTTTGTTGGACAAATGGATGGGTGACTTTGAATGAAAGAATGTTTGAAGTTGAATGAAATGACTGATAACAGATCTTTGCCTGTTTTCAAGTTGTTGAGAGAGTCCCTCTTGCTGGTAAAAGGAGGGGTTTTACGTTCTGTGTGGCTCCTCGCCTGTCTTGAGGGCAGTGATTTTGAACAACCATGAAAAGAGCGCCTTCTTTGATTTTTGTAGATGGCAGTTGAATTTCTGCATGAATTGAATGTTCCATTTTTCAAAGTTGGATCTGGGGACACTAACAATTTTCCTTATCTGGAAAAGACAGCCAAAAAAGGTGAGTGTTTAATCTCTGTCATAAAATATGAGGGAGTCTACACCACGTTTTTACTCCTTTAGTGGCAGCTAAAAGAGTAAATCAGACTTTAGAAAACTCTTTTCAATCTGCACATACTTCCATTTTTTCATATGCTGACTTGGAAGAGAAGAAATTAAGGATGACACAGTTGTTATAAGGACTTAATTAAAATTATTTTTAATTTATAAGAAATTATACAAAATTGGAGATTTGATGCCATAAAACTTCTTAAAGAAAGCTCTGAGAAATATTCTTGAGGTATATTATAATATCTAACATATGCACATTATAGTTTGTAAGGCAGGGTTTACAATATGAGTGATCTCATTTGATTCTCACAGCTCCTCTGGGACTTTATACTTATGTCATAGACGAGGCATCTGAGATCACATAGCTAGTGAGTGGCAGCCCTGGGTTCTTGAATCTGGAGTCTGTGCTTATCCTACCACACAGTATGACCTCTTAATCCAATGAGATGCTCATCTTTCTTTGAGGTGTGTGAAATCGCTCTGACTCCTTAATTCAGTTCACTTTTCTAAACTATAATGTTGGGGGGTGAGGGGAGTCTGCATTTCCCATAGTCGAGGGCAGGATCCCACCAAGTTCACCTCTGTTCCTCCACAGTGGCTGGCAGAGTATTTGAGAGATGTTTGTGAAGTTTGGTTGATCAGGTGACCAGCAGTTGGGATTTGCTTGAGGGAGAATCAGAACCACTAAAAAGAAAGTGACGATGGTGTTTGTATTTGGTCACTCAGGCCGCCCAATGGTGATCTCCAGCGGGATGCAGTCTATGGACACCATGAAGCAAGTCTATCAGATTGTGAAGCCCCTCAACCCCAACTTCTGCTTCCTGCAGTGCACCAGTGCATACCCGCTCCTCCCTGAGGATGTCAACTTGCGCATCATCTCGGTGAGCGGGAGGAAGGGCCATTGTCTCATTGGGCCACTTGAAAATAGCTTTTCTTAGGCCATTTACTGCAGGGAAGATGTAGCCTTTTTTCTCTCTCTTATACATTCTTCTTTTTTTTTTTTTAAGTATTTATTGTGGAAAGTATTACATATGTTCCCCTTTCCCCCCATTGATGGAGCCTTTTATACACACAAAATTCTAACCAATATTGATATGCTTCATAACTTGAGCCCCCTTTGACAATCTTGCTGTTATAGAATCAAATTAGAGCCGATCAGGCAGCTAAGGAAGCAGGTACATTCTATAGAGGGTGATTACAAATTAAATTTTCTTAAAACCAATCTTAATTTCACCCATTATTAAATATAAGTCCTCGTAATTGTCTATATACATTTATTTTACCCATGTGTATTGGCCATTAGAGGTCCCTCTTCTGTGAATTGCTGGCTTATTAGTGAGTTATCTTGTGTGTGTGGTAAAATAAAAGGTTTACCATTTTAACCATTTTTAGGTATACAGTTCCAAGGTATTAAGTACATTTACAGTGTTGTGCTACCATCACCACCATCCATCTCCAGAACTTCTTCATCTTCCCAAACTGAAACCAATCCCATTAAACACTAACTGCCCATTTCCCCTTCCCCTAGCAGCCACCATTCTTCTTTCTGTTTCTATGAATTTGACTTCTTAAGGTACTTCATATAAGTGGACTCACATAGTATTTGTCCTTTTGTCTTCTTTCCCTTAGCATAATGACTTCAAGGTTCATCCATGTTGTAGAATGTGTCAGCATTTCATTCCTTTTTAAGACTGAATAATATTCCATTGTATGTATATAGCACATTTATCTATCCATCAATATACATTTTGGATGTTTCCACCTTTTGGATATTGTGAATAATGCTGTTAGGAACATCGGTGGAAATATCTTTTTTTTTTCCTTTTTCATTTTTAAAAAAATATATTTTATTGATTTTTTACAGAGAGGAAGGAAGAGGGATAAAGAGTTAGAAACATCGATGAGAGAGAAACATCGATCAGCTGCCTCCTGCACACCCCCTACTGGGGATGTGCCTGCAACCAAGGTACATGCCCTTGACTGGAATCGAACCTGGGACCCTTCAGTCCCCAGGCCGACGCTCTATCCAGTGAGCCAAACCAGCTAGGGCTAGAAATATCTTTTTATCTTCTTCATATTGAGTTATAGGCGACCTTCTTGAAACTTCTGGCTTTTCCTGCTCTATGTTTTCTGCCAGCTCTGATACATTTCTACCTGTAATTCTGCGCATCCCTGAGGCTCAGACTGTTTACATTGACAGCCTTGAGGGAACTTTTTCTCTCCCAGGATTTTGTCCACCCCAACTCAATTAAAGATGGTGAAGTCTAGTCCCAAAGGGAAAAACACTTACTTATTGGAGATCTCACAGCAGCTTGGTGGCAAAGCTGAGACTAGAATCCTTTGTCTCTTACTGCCTTGGGCCAACTTTTGTCAGTACCTGGAACTTAATTAGAAGTGTACATATATGTAATTACCATCTGAAAACATTAAATTCGTGTAATTCTAAATATATGTACACACATAATCATGATATTGCAATTGACCAGTTTTCCTTTTACATTTTCCTTTCAGTTCAGTATTTGACATTGTTTTATTTTCATGACAGTCTACACATTTGTACATGTTGCTGCAGTATTCATCTCTCACTTTAAAAAATTAACCTTTATAGCCCGGCAGGGGTTGAGCATTGACCTATGAACCAGGAGGTCACGGATCCATACCCAGTCGGGACACATGCCCAAGGTGCAGGCTTGATACCCAGTGGGGGGGCGTGCAGGAGGCAGCTGATCAATGATTCTCTCTCATAGTTGATGTTTCTATCTCTCTCTCCCTCTCCCTTCCTCTCTGAAATCAATAAAAAATACGTTTTTTTAAAAATTAATGTTATTTGAAAACTGACACTATCTTTTTACCTAAACTTTCTGTCCCTCCTAGTTGATAGTCTTTTCTCTATTTCTAGCCATCTCTTAATGCTCTGATTTTAAAAATTTAAACATGCTTTTTAAAAACCCAAACAGCTTTGAGTTATAGAACATAGAAAGTGAATGTTCTCTTAATCCCATGCAAACAAGATTGCCATTATCAACAATTTATTATATGTGAGTCCAGATATTTTCCTTCTCTGTGTAGCATGGTTCCCCTCTCCCTTCCAGGCCCATCCGAGGTGCAGTCATGTCTGTCTGCTCTCTTGATACCAGGGCACAGTGAGTGAGAAATTGCCAGCCCTCCCATCTCGGGCCCAGCCCACCATATTACAGCAGTTTGAACTCCCCAACCTAGCAACCTGCACTCCCTTGTCCATCACGCACCCTTTAAAGCCTGGTTTTCAAGGCTTTTGCCGCTCAGCTGTCCTAATCTTTTATTAAACCCCATCTGGGTCTTTCTACTGTACTTAAGCTTTCTGGTAGCCCTCACTGACAAGACTCACTCGACTTAGAATGTCTTTTGTTGCATTCAGTGAATTATAGATAACAGATTAATTATTTAGCATTTCTACCAAAGGATTGTTTTGAGATTGGGCTATATACATTATTGATGATGATATATGTGCATATAGCACACTTGCTTTCAGCAGTTCAGGCTAATTAAATGTGACAGATGCCTTTTGAATGAGAGTTTAGGCATATGGTTATAGCTGTTATTCCTGGTGGTTTGTGCAGTGAGAAACATTCTTAAAATGCCTTCTCGATAACATTGGCCATTATTTTTTGAGCATCTACGTGTGTTGAGTGTTTTTCATGCATTTATGGCAGTCCTCGACAGCTGTTACCCCCGGTGAGGAGAGGCCCAGAGAGCCTGAGTAAGGTCTTGCCCATATTGTACCAATGGCGAGCTGCTAAACTGGAACTCTAACCCAGGTCTGCCTGACTCGGGAATATATGCATGAAATACCACAATATTTAACCGATTTTTTTTCTTTTCCTATTTAAAGGAATATCAGAAGCTCTTCCCTGACATTCCCATAGGGTATTCTGGGCATGAAACAGGAATAGCAATCTCTGTGGCTGCTGTGGCTCTGGGGGCCAAGGTTTTGGAGCGTCATATAACTTTGGACAAGACCTGGAAGGGCAGTGACCACTCGGCCTCGCTGGAGCCTGGAGAGCTGGCAGAGCTGGTGCGGTCTGTGCGCCTTGTGGAAAGGGCCATGGGCTCCCCAACCAAGCAGCTGCTACCCTGTGAAATGGCTTGCAACGAGAAGGTGGGTTCTGCCCCACCCTGCTGGGCTCCCCTGTTTGAGAGGGCCGAAATGGGTTTACCTGCTAGGGAGAGTCAGTACCTACCCTGCCTGAGCCCAGGCCAATGGGAAGATAAAGGAATATCTCTCTAACCTTCTGGCCTTATATGAGCAGTGGGAGAAACATACTACTTAAGGCAGTGGTTCTCAACCTTCCTAATGCCACAACCCTTTAATACAGTTCCTCATGTTGTGGTGACCCCCAACCATAAAATTATTTTCCTTGCTACTTCATAACTGTAATTTTGCTACTGTTATGAATCGTCATGTAAATATCTGATATGCAGGATGTATTTTCATTGTTACAAATTGAACATAATTAAAGCATAGTGATTAATCACAAAAACAATATGTAATTATATATGTGTTTTCCGATGGTCTTAGGCGACCCCTGTGAAAGGGTCGTTTGACCCCCAGAGGGGTCGCGACCCACAGGTTGAGAACCGCTGCCTTAAGGGAACTTTAGCAGTTCCTCTGGCTGCCTACGATCATGTTATAATTTCTCACCTAAGTCTCTGAAGTCTGTGACCCCAGGCTCTAGACTCCAGATGTAAGGGGAGGTGATGGTATCCAGGGCCTCATGAGGCACTCAGACAGGTTAAGTCTAGGGTCTCTTGGAGTAGGTAAGCCTTGAAAAACATTCAGGTAGAGGGGTTCTATGAGGCAGTGGGAGAAGGGCCTGTGATATATGTTGAGGCATCCCTAATCAGGAGGCACTGGGAGAATGGGGGTGGCTGGTTATTGGGGGGATGATGCAAATATTCTCTCAGGAACAGTTTGAGCTGTGTAGCATTGACCTTCAGACAGAGGGGATGGTGAGGCCAAAGAACACTGCCTGGCACACTCACAATCTGGGCTTCTTGGAAGGGGTGGCTTAGGCCCGTCTTGGCCTCTGAGTCATAGAGCCAGGCGACCCAGGGCTGGCAGGAGTGCAGACACTCCTAATCTGCTGCAGGCTGTCTGGGTGAAGGCAAGACCAACCACCAGGCTGCATGGGGAGTGTTGTCATCTTTTATTCTGGTGGGGCCCTACTCACTTCCCTCAAATTAAAGATGCATAGATAATAGGAAATTATACTAATAGTAAAAACAAAATAGTAACAAGACAAACAAAAAACCTGATAGAGGAAAGGGGGAGAGAATTGTACCCGAAACCAGAATGAGAACTAAGTGCATAATTTGGTTCTAAGTCTCCTGGCTCCCTGAGCAGTGAAACATAACAGGATGCATAATCTGATATTGCTCGTTGATAGACATTTGTCCTAGTACTAAATTCCAGAATTGATTCCTTGGCTCTTACATGAAGGATATAGAGGAATATAATTTGTTTAGCAGCATTGTGGACAAGACTTAGAAATGCTGGTCATGGAGCTTCCGGTATCCTTCATCCTGCTCGCCTGCCCATTCTGTCTGCCCCATCCTAGGAGTAGCAGTCATACTCATCATCTTGTGAGGCCTCCATATTCCTGTTTCACTGAGCAATGTGGCCCGTAAGGTTCATGTCCCTTGAGAGCAGTGGGCCAGGAATGAGGAATCCTAGGTTCTCTTCCCAGCTCCTTGCAACCTTAACCAAGTTACCCATCCTCTTTGTGCCTCAGTTTTCCCAAGTTTAAAATGAGATATTGACTTTATCAGGAGGGGCATTCTGTGTTTCAGGTAGATTACGTATATTATCACTAATCCTTATCGTAGTCGATAAGATAGAGGCACCATTATTTCCCATTCTACAGAGAAACTGTAGGGGTTCCAAGAGGCAATGGGAGAAGGCTGTTTGGTGACCTATCCAAGCCTTTTCCTTTGCATTTTATGGTTGAAGGCCCTTCCTCTGAATCTGAGTTCACCCCATATTGGCCGAGTCCCTGCCATGTGTGACATACTACTCTAGGCACCAAGGGGGAGGGTGAGAACAGTCCCTATTCTCAAGACACCTTGTGAAGACTGATCAGGCATCTTGAGTATAAAGCAATGTGCACTAGTTACTTTTGTGAGACTAGCACTGAGTGTTACTTTTATCCACAGCTGGGCAAGTCTGTGGTGGCCAAAGTGAAAATTCCAGAAGGCACCATTCTAACACTAGACATGCTGACTGTGAAGGTGGGTGAGCCTAAAGGCTACCCTCCTGAAGACATCTTTAGCCTGGTGGGCAAGAAGGTCCTGGTCACTATTGAAGAAGACGACACCATCATGGAAGAATCTGTAGAAAACCATGGCAAAAAAATCAAGTCTTAAAATAAAGTGCCATTCTCTGAATTCTGAATTGCCTTGTTGGTACTGTTGGTTATGTTGGGTGAGGTGGGACAGGAGTAGTCTCCAAAGACATGATTCTCATCCACTCCCTGTCCCTGACAGCAGGCACTTTTGGGCCAGGCCCTGTGTCAAGCCGTTGAAGGAATACAGAAAGCAAATACAACCATTTCTGCTTCAGGTTGGCTGGCCCAGAAGGGGAAGTGGGCTCAAAAGCAAATCATCACCTCCAGTTGTGTGGGTGCAAGAGGGACGAGTGCTGGCTGGATAGGTCCTGTCTTTTAAGCCTTCATTCTTATTGCCCACAAAGGCAACCCAAATGACCCGAAATCTCCCTTCCAGACCTCCAGCTGTCTTTCTCCATGGCCCTACCCCCTGCCCACTGTGGGGCTCTGTGTTCAGTTAGCTGTATAGTGATCACTTGGTGTTACAGAAAGTATTGGTCAAAGGGTCTTGCAGGCAGTGAAATACCCAAGGTGCTCATATCTCTGAGAAGAGAGAGAGAACTTTCAACAGCTCTGAAGAGTGGCAGACTCTTTTAGGTCCTGAGGATGAGTCCAAATCCCTTCCTCATGGAACTTTCATTCAGGGGGGGACATACGGTATACAATAAACCATGAACACAGTAGTTAAATCAGTATGTTAAAAGGTGATATGTGCAATGGGGGTAGAGGGGAAATAGAACCGAGTGAGGGAGATGGGAAATGTGGGGCTTGGTGTGTGAGCATGTTGTGGCGACTTTGAATATGATGGTAATGCTGAATTCAGCCCTTCTATGATCCATAATGAAATTGTAAACCCAGCTAATAAAAAAGATTGTCTTGCCCTAACCGGTTTGGTTCAGTGGATAGAGCGTTGGCCTGCAGACTCAAAGGTCCCAGGTTTGATTCCGGTCAAGGGCATGTACCTTGGTTGCGGGCATATCCCCATTGGGGAGTGTGCAGGAGGCAGCTGATCGATGTTTCTCTCACATCGATGTTTCTGACTATCCCTCTCCCTTCCTCTCTGTAAAAATTCAATAAAATATATTTTAAAAAAAAAAGATTGTCTTATGTTCTTGAACAGCAGCATGAACCTTTCACAGAGATTTCGTATCATATTCCCCTTTGTTCTTTTGAACCAATAGAGATTAATTATTCTTTTCAAATATATTTTCAAATTCTTAATCTTTGTTCACATTTGGCCTTGTTTACTATAACTCTTCTTGTTTCAAAGTGTTTATTTGCATCTTTTCAAATGCATAAATTAGCCTTTTGAAGTTTATTTACTTGTGAGTATAGAACCTTCTCTTGCAGATCCCAAAACAGTTTCTGGAAAGGTACTCAAGTCTGTGTGAATGGGGTGGGATAGGAATCCTGGGTTGTACTCATGTGTAAAAGAAAACCCATAAAATTGATATGCTAAGAACTGAAGTGTGATAGTACCAATTTCTGGTTGATACTCCCTTTCATTTTTTTCCCTATAAACAGACCTTGAAGAGACCATCAAAATTTCCTATTCCAGGGCATTTTTTCTCTATAATAGCAGAGAAGGTGACATTTAAATATCTGAAACTTCCTAACAAGAAGAGACATAGCATTAGAGGGATGTGTCCCAGGGCCTGGAAACAGGATGTGGGTCTGGAAGAGAGGGAAGGGCCTGGCCTGGGCTCTAGCTGAGAATGTGTAGTGAGTGAACCAGTTAATTGCCTCCACAAACAGCACCCCCATATGTATGAATTGCTGAGATGTTTTCCAAGAGTCATGAGAGTGGGGATGGTATGGTCAGGAAAGACTTCCTGGAGGAGGTGGCTCTTTAGTTCAACCTTGCAGGTTGAGAAGTGACTGACGGAGTTAGGGCATAGGCTTGGGAAGTGCCCAGAGTGTCCAGGAACTAGCAGGTGATGATTTGGCAAGGAATGGCCACATGGAGAGGAAAGAAGGGACTTGGAATGGGTCAAGAAAGAAGCAAGGGCTTAAAAGCCTGCTGAGTTTGGACTTTGTTCTATAGGCAATGGGGAGTCATGGAAGGCTTCTGAGCAGAACATGGTAGACTCAGACCCACGCCTCCCACTCTCACACTTATCCTCCATCTAGCTTGGCTTCTGGGGCAAGCTGTCCCCTCCCCATAGTATGAATTCCTGCCCACCAGAAAGAACCAAAGATGGCTTCAGTGTTGGTAAAGGATGATCACAAAAATGCCAAAAGCTACATAATACTGTCATGGATAGGAATAGCTGGGAGGCAGGGTTTGTTTTCACATAAGCAAGAACTTAGTGAATTCTCTTCAGAAGTGGTGAAGTCCCCTTCACTGAAGATATTCAATCAGGGACCCACTGACCACTGCAAACAAATGGTGGAGGGGGTGGAAAATGAGCAAGACTCCGTCCAGGCCTAGATGCCATGAACATGAAACAACAACTCCCAATGCAGACCATGGTTCAAAGACAATATTCAGCCCTGGCCAGGCCCAGTTGGTTGGAGTGTCCTGTACACCAAAGGTGGCAGGTTTAATGCCCAGTGAGGGCACATACCCAGATTGCAGGTTTAATCCCTGGCCGACCGATCGACATTTCTCTCCTCTCCCTTCCTCTCTTGAAAAATAAATTTAAAAATTTTACAGAGACAAATATCATATTTTATGTAAACATATATATATTAGAAAATTGCTGTCATTTACACATATCTGCAAGCAATTTGCTGTATCAATTAAGAAATTTCTACAAATCTGAAAGAGTGATCAATACCCTTGCAGACATGGACCCCAAGGAAGCTCAGTCCTCTCCTGTGAATATGCAAGGAAGCTCCTGCTACTGCCAGATGGCAGTTTGGAGTAGCAGTTGTCTCAGTGCTAAGCACAACAGGAATTCTGCTGGGGATGCTCACATATCCTGGCATGGCACAGCTCTGTAAAGTTTTTAAGGCTAGTTCCTATCCTTGGCTCATTTGAGACTCACAGCACTGGTAGATAGGATCTTTACACCCATTTTACAGATGATGCTCCGAGAAGTAAAAAGTGACTAGCCTGAGGTCAGAGTTGATTGTGGACCAAAACTGCAGTTTTCCAACTGGTGCAGGCCTTGGCACAAAGTAGGCATTTGATAAAAGCCATTTTTCAACCTTTATAGTCTCTGCTACTCTCAAATCCCCCCTCCGGGTATAAGACCTCATCTCAAGAGCCCAAGGGAGATAATCCAAAGCTAGATTTGCCCTAACAGTATGGCCTTGTGGACATAAGCACAGACCCCAGCTCCATTAGCTGTGTGACTTGTGTGTCTCAATTTTGTCTCAGTTGGGATAACTTTCTAAGTCCTAGGGATGATGTGAGGATCAAATGAGTTCATAGCCATAAAGCATTAGAACAGTGCCCAACGAAGAGCAAGGGCCATTGTTACTCGGCCCCTGTTGGCTGTGGGCCGGGGAACCAGTCTGGATTTCCAGGGATGAACAGAGATGTAGAGTCAAGTGTACCCCTCTTGCTCTGTCGGGAATGCCTCTGTCTGAATTCAGTTTTGGGCCATCCCCAGTAAAATTCCCCTTTCTCAGGATTCCTGGAGCATAGTGCTTAGACACCTATTCAAGTTAGAGTTTTAAATTATTTGGTTAGAACTAAAGGCACTTTTGAGGTTCCTTCTGTCTTGTATTCTAATTGTATTACATTGCCCCATATGAAAGTGCCATTTTTAGGTAAAAAACTATTGGAAATTCTCATTTTATGGTTCAAACTAATTAATGCACGTAGTTTGTTTAAACCATGAGGGAGATTTAGCTTTGTGTTTTCCTCACCCTACCACTGTCCTATCAAGCACTTAACAAGGTAAATTTAATATGGTATAACTTGAAAACTGTCTAGGGAACTTGACAAATCAGGATGCTGAACCTTTAGAACTGAGGCACAGGCCCTGGAAGGAGGCCTTTCTCTCCCTGTTAGAGGAGCTGGCCTCCCTGAGGTCCTGCTGGTTTGGCCTTCTCTATTTATGTCACTTCTGGAAAGTGGGGCTCTATGGCGTTCCTTGGCAACACCTGGATCTGAGAAGCATACTGTGTCTGGGCTGCCCAACTCCACTCATGCTCTGCTTTTGATTCTAAGACAGTGGGAAAACTGCCAGTGGTTGCTTAGTAACTGCCACCTGCTGATTCTTCCCTACATCCCCAGGAATGAATAAGTAGTTAATCTCCCAGGTTAAAGGCTGGGCCAAAGGGCACATCAGAAACTCGCCTAGGGGCTAGAGTGCCGGGCGCCCTTAATCACCGTGGGCTACTTTAAGCAACTTACTTTCAGGTAAGGACCTGTCTCCCGAAATGTACAATGAGGTCAGGCTGAGTGATCTGTCAGGCTCTCCCAGCCCAGCTGCTCTGTGACTCTGGGAGGGCAGGGACTTACTGAACTTTTCAGGATGGGGAGAGTGCAGGACACAGCTGCCCTTAGAAAGCTTCCAATCTACTTAGAAAGTAGAACCCCATCAGGGTTTGTGGCCCTGTTGCTAAGATTCTAGTGGCTTGGGGAGACTTCCTTGGGGGCAGTTAAGCCTTGGGAAGACCGAGACAGGCAAAGAAGAAGGGCTTTCCTATATAAATGTCATGGGGGCAGGGGAAGAGACCTGCAAAGGCCCAGAGGCCCACCATGGGACAGTTCCGCTGGAGGGTATCTGAAAAGAGCTGCAGAAGCTAGTTGAGCAGCAGCTCAGGGGCAGCCCACAAAAACCTTGCATGCTAAGGCGAGGTGACGTGCTTTTCCCCCCTGGAACCCTTGGAACCTTTTCATTGTCCTGAGAGGCTAAGTGCGGTTTTAGGCAGATCACTCTGGTTATGGGTGGAGGACGGGAGAGGGTTCAGGCCGCTATTAAGAGGCTCTTGATGCTGCTCTGAGGAAACGTGGACAAGCTGAATGACGCCGAATGCAGAGGAGACAGAGCCCAGGGGCACTGGTTAGATGGAGTCAGGGCTGGGCGCCTCTCCTGCATTCGCGCATTTATTGTGCACCTACTATGTGCCAGCCAGTTCTGGCTTCTATACGAGGGAGGAGGTCTGAGGCTAGTGTAGTGTGATTGGTCAGGATGCCCAGGGCTCACCTGCGAGGGCGTCCTTTCCGAACCCGGACTAAAAGCAGTGCAGGGGGGTGGGGAGGTCTGCTGAGCGAGCAGCAGGGGACCGATGTTTAAGGCACGTCCGGACCGGGCCTGGGAGAGGACCTGTGACAGCGCAGGCGAGACCGGTGGGGGAGACGGCGGGTGTGCTTGGAGAGCAGGCGGTGGACCACTCACGTCTGGGTCGGGTGTGACCAGAGTCCCGGGAAGTCTAAGGGCGGTCCCTCCCATCGGGCCCTAGGGCAGCCGGGGGATGCTGATGGCCCCTTCCCAGAGCCGCAGGGCCGGGTAGAGCGGCTCCTGGAACGCGGCGCGGAAGGTGTGGAGGTGGCTCATGCCGTCCGACACGTTGTAGAAGGCGAGGACGCCGGCCTCGTAATCCAGGAAGACGCCCAGCCGGTCGGGGTCGTCGCGGGGCCACAGGCGGCAGCGCTGGCTGTCGTGGAAGGCCCAGTACTCCAGGTCGTAGCGCTTGAGGCACCACGACTGGCGGTTGCAG